TCGCATTGTGGACACATAGAGATGTGGTCCTACTCATGCTTTTGAAGAGCCTGGGCACTGCTTCCAGCACCTCTTCTCACTGGTCCCTTGACTTTGGATATTCCCATTAGCCATTTGGTCTTCAGGGTCCTTCCCTGCAAGCTGCTTTGTTACAAGCACCTCTGGCAAAGGCTGGGTCTAGAGTCTCAAAGGATGTCTTAAAGAGTTTATCTCTTGGTGGTGGGTGCGGTGGTGGTGGTGGTGGTGGCACACACTTTCAATCGCAGCACTCTGGAGGCGGAGACAGGAGATACTCTGTGAGTGTAGATCATCCTGGTCTACAGAGTGAGTTCCAGGATGGGCTTCAAAGCTACACAGAGAAACCATGTCTTGAAAAACAAAACAAAACAAAACAAAAAGTTTATCTTTTACCAGTTATTGGTTCCATTTTCCTTCAGACAGGCATGTTTCTCCAGCAGGCCTAGTGGCAGTGATGAACACTTGCTATTCCAGGCTCTACAGCCTTAAGAAGCACCCCAGAAGAGGGGACAATCTAGGGCTGGTAGGAGCTATGTTTTCTGTTTTATACTGTCATTGCATGTAAAGTGCCTACTCACGGTTCCTGGAGTTCATTCATTCAATAAACATTTGCTTTAGCTGGCCCCTGAGTGTGTTTCAAGGCTTCTGCGATCAACAGACAGACAGGCCTTTTGTGTAATTTACACTTTGGTTGAGAGAGACAGACAGTAAACAACGGAACAAACAGGCAAGTGGGATAATTGCAGGTTACAGGTACCCTGGCGGAAACAAGGAAAGAGATGTGAGAGAGGAAGGGGTTGGGAGCCTGGCTCAGAGACCTGGGATGGCGGTTGACATTTGAACTGAGGTGTGAAGGACTAGAGAGACACCAGCCTCAGGAGTACCTGGCACACTAAGGCCCCAGGCAAAAGCGTTTGGTGTGGTCTGGAGGGTGGTGGGCCACAGAGAACACCACATGGGGGGCTTTACGTGCTGCCGGAAGAGGTAGGAATCGGCTCTTAGGAGGAAGTGAAGCCCTTGGCAGGCTTTGAGCAGGATGCTCCTACGTGCTGTTTTATGGGTTTCTGTGGAGTGAGGGGCAATGAGTCAGTCACTTAGGAAGAGAATCCATGCTCAGAAGTACAGCTGGCTGAGAATGAACAAGACACCAGTAGCCCGGGACTAACAAGTAGCTCTTGGTTCCTGAAGAGTATGGAAGGGTCAGATAAACAGTTGGGGTCACTTTCAAAAAGAAGGGGCACTGGTTGTTGCGCAGGCTCCCACTCTCAGGACTCAGGCAGTGGCAGAACACGGGGGACAGTAGATAGGACGTGGGTCAAGGCTGGGGTGTGACCTGAGAGTTCTGTCCATGGCCTAGAGAGGGCTGGGCTCAGTTAGACGGTAGGGCTTCGTCCAGGTCTGCCTTGAAACTGGCATCCAACAAAGCCTTCAAGAATCCTTGGCCCTTTCTCAGAACACACTAGTGCTGTTTCCAGGGCTTGCCAGGGAGCCAGGCTGGGACCTCTCATCTGGATGGTCAGGCCCCAGGGCCCCAGTGCTTTTCTTTTCTTTTGGGATGGTGCTCCACAGGGTGTCAAGGCAGCTGTGCTAGAAGCTCCCACCTGGAGCTTATTTGTGTTCTCTTGGTCACAGGCTACCCCTGCTCCTGGCACTGTGATCTTCGTGTGCCATCCCAGTCACTCTCATGTCTTCTTGCTGCTATCTAGGACTCAGAGATCCGCAGTAATGCGGCCAACTACCTGCCTGAGATAAGCCAGCTCCTGAACCACGTGCCTCGCCAGATGCTGCTCATCCTGAAGACCAATGAGCTACTCCGCAGCATTGAGACCGCCCTGGGCACCCGGTCCAGTGCCAGTTCCTTCCTCAACATGTCTCGGTGTTGTATCAGGGCACTGGCCGAGTGAGTATGCTCCCGTCTTGGCCACCTCCCAGTTCTAGGAACTGTTCCATGGGCTTTCCTTCCCTCACCATTCAGTCCTTAGGGCCCAATCTTGACTTCTCACCCTCTAGATCTCCCTTCAATAATCACAGGGGGGGCAAAATCAGCTGCAGTGCATCAGCAGGTGCCTGGAGTTGGTGTCTGTGGGTAGCTTAGAACACCTGTATTTTGCCAAATGTTGCTCTGTAGACCAGGCTGGACTCGAACTCACAGAGATCGGCCTGCCTCTGCCTCCCCGAGTGCTGGGATTGAAGGCATGCGCCACCACTGACCAACTCCAGATGATTCTTTCTCTCAAAAATGTTTGAAGTTGGTTTTTGAGCATATCAACTCATCCAGGTGTCCCCTGGACTTGTGGTCAGGAAGCCCCAATATGAGCCTATTTCTAACTGGTCCTGGGACTCAGGTCCTAGTACCAGCCCAGGCATTGAGGCCATTGCTCTTTATACTGGAGATGTGGCTATGACCTGGGAAGATGTGGCTAGTAGGCTCTCTCAGGGTCACAGAGCTTTCTAGATGCCTTAACATCCTTGAGACACTGATGAGGAGGAGAACTGTGCTTCTTCAGGAAGGGTCTAGAGGAGCAAGCGCTAGGCCTCCAGTTGAGTATGGTGAACACACCAGAAAGGCTGTGCTCTGGCAGAATATTCTCAGTCCAGAGAGGAACCCTAGCTTGTGGTCACACCCCAGCCTGTGCATCCTGGAGAAGGAATGGGATCATTGTGGGCAACCAACAGATTTGACCACATAGATCATGCATTCACTAGCAAGTACAAGATTGGGTTACAGCAAAATACTCCAGTCAATGAAGGATAGAGTGTGATTTATCTTTTCTCTGAGGGCAGAGGAAACCAAGTCTTAAAAAATGAAAGGTCTCCGGTTTGGAGCTCAGTGGGGTCCGGGAGGCAGACAACCATTTGGGGTGAGAGACTGTTTAGAAGAGTTCCTAACACCATAGACAGATAAAAACAGGTAGGTAGAACACAGCGGGGCTGCCAAGGAGGGTTCAGGTCACTGTCGTTTACAGCAGCTATGAGAAAAGACGGCTGTGGCTTGATTAGCTCCTAGCCTGAAACCTAACAAGAGGTCATTATTCATAAATTCCAGTTTTCATTGTGTCTTGTGTTTGGTTCAGAGAGACTGAGCCGGGTTGATTCGTAGAGTGCTTGGCCCCCCAGAGTCACCTGACCCTCTGCAGAGGCTCTGACTGTACTTGTGTCAGGGTGAGATGGGCCTCTGGGTTGGCATATTTACTGTACTTTTGGAAAAAGAAACCACGCAATGCTCTGCTGGGTGAGGGGGTCAGAGCCTTGATGCCTCACTATTCTACTGCTTTGAATATCTTCTTTGGGATATTTGAGTTCCCCTGGCAGTTATGTAGTCAGGTAAGTAGATAGTCCCCAGGGTCAGGGAAGCTGGTGGGCTGGCCAGGCCACCTGCCATCTTTTATTTTTCTCCGTGGTGCTGGGCTGGTGTTTTCTCACCTCTGTTTCTTTGCTTCCCTTCTTCTTTCTCACCCCTCCTCTAGGCAGAGGAAGAGAGACGCCTGCTCATTCTTCAGAAGGACCCAGATATGTTTCAGTGAGGCCTTTAGCCTTTGGCAGATCAACCTTCATGAACTTCTGCTTCGAGTGAAGGGCTTGAGGCTACCTGGCTGGGTCTCAGCTCTCCTGGGCTGGCTGACTCGGGCTCCTCACTGAGTGTGACTTGTCGTTCCCTGCCCCTTCCTAGTGTCTTTCCACACCTCATTTGTTCCTTTATGCTCAGTATCCACTGACCCATGTCTGCCCAGGGTTGGCCTGTGGTCCGATGATGGTTGTCCATGGCACCGTCACACTCTGCTGTTGGAGCCCCCCACTGCAGACTTGTCTTGGGGCCCTGGACTGTACTGGAGACTGAATTTCTTTCCTCTAAGGAGGGGATAAAGCAACCTTTTTCCCATTTCCTGTTGGTGCCATTGGCTTGGTCATTCCCACTTTGTGGGGATTGTCAGGAAGGGCCAACCACATGTGCCAAAAGGGCACGTTTAACTTATAGGAAATCAGTAGGTTCTTGGAACTTGCTAAAGAACAGACTTTGTATTTTTGCCATATCACTCCCAAAGGTGTCTCGCCACAGTGAGGAAGGCTGCATCTGAGAATAAGCTGTGCAGCTGTGGGTTCATGCTGTCACGGTGACACCTCCAGTATTATATATATTGTGTTTCAATAAACCCTTTCAAGGTTGCAGGGACTGTCCCTTCTGACTCAATGGCTCCATTTGGACTTTTAGTTGCTCTTGGTAGCTGCTTCCTTGGGAAACCCCTAGGTTTCTAAGGGAGGTGTAGAAGAATGAAGTCTGGTTTGGTTGTAGAATTTATTTGCTAGGTTGGGAGCAAATCCACACGGTTTGCAGTGGACCTGAACACCATGTACCCTGGACCCTTCCCCTATGAGCCATGTGGGCTGTAAGATTGTTTGTCACAGGGCCACATCCTGTTCCTTGGAGGCTTTTCCTCCACCATCTACATCCCAGATCTTCATTGGTAGTATTAAGAAGTTCAAAGCTTGGACCTAGAGGCAGAGATAGTGTCCCACTTGCATCTGATGACTGGGACACCTGCCTTGTTCAACTGGTTAGGTCCTGACTTACCCTCTGGTTCTCAGTCAGTGACCTGAGTCTCAGGTCCAGGATTGTATCTGGTCCTTCCAGGTCTTTGGAGACATCAGTGATGAAACCATAGTCACTGTGGCTTTGTACATTCTGACATATCCATGTCACCTGTTGAAACTGTTTCTATTCTCTTGCTTTGTCAGCATTCACACCTCCCTAGTTCATCATCTGCTCCTATGTCTGCATGGTCTCCGGGTCTCCGAGACCCCACATATGGCAGGCCCTAGCTCCACGATCATCCATGCTTGCAGATGGATAACTACCCGATCAGAAAACTCCAAATCTGAGCCTTTGTTTGTTCTCTTTGTTAATGATACAACAAGCAGATTTTTCTGGTGATCAGAGACTATTTGCATTCTTTTATTTTCTGAAAGAATTAATTGTTCTTGGTGACCAGTTGGATATATCCAGGGACCCAGGAGAATGATTTGCAAGCTCTGTTATTAATCATGAGGATACATGCTGCATATTCTATTTTATGGTGCCTTTTACAGCCACTGAAGTAAATATAAATGTCCCTTCTGTTCAAGATAATAGTCACTTGCTTTTCACTGTGGATGTACTGGTTGGCTTACCCTGGGATTTAAAACATCAGCATGTTGCCTGTAGGCTTAGCACCCAAGACAGTTTCCGGGCTAGGAGGGGTGTTTGGGAGTGCAGGGCAGTTTGCAAATCTAGGAGTAGGCTGATACTTATGAGTGACCTCCCACACCACTGTAGATAAGGATTATGCTCGCTCTTTGAGTTGTCCTGTGTGTCTGAGCTGAGTACCTCTAAATATAGATGCCCTGGCCTTTGGTTAGTGCTTGGGGATATTGGCAGACTTGATAGTTTTCAGGGAGGTCGAACTCTTTGGAAAGCTGCATGTACAACTACTGGCTCACAGAGGTGCTTCGAGGATGGCCAGGTTAATACCAGCACTGTCTTTTCCAGGATCAGAGCTGGTCAGCCTCTAGACTGCAGGCTGTCGGGGCCTTCTTGCCACCGCACAGGGACACCCTAGAAAGACAGAGCTGCTCTAAGAGGTCCCCAAGCAAGTTCTGGGCAGTAGGGTTGATGGGAGGTTTGCAGCAGTCCTTAGTGTGGGCGGGCACCCGTGGGAAGAGTGGTGCTAGTGGGGTGAACGGTCAGGCAGGTGTGGCTGAAGCAAGAGATGGGCGTGACCCGAATAAAGAAAACCAGTGTGTGGTGCATTCCTGGCAGTGGGGACACAGGGCACACTGGCTGCACAGGAGGGTCCATATTTAACAGGAGACCCTGAACACCAGGTAACCTGGTGCTACTATTCCCGCTTTGTGAACCGAAGGAAGTCCCTACAGTCCTGTTTGGCAAAGAGCCATTTTCTCATCAGCCCCCTTCCTCTTGCCATGTTCCCCTCTCCTGTCTACAAAGCAAAGCCTGGAGGGTCAGGCTGTCTTTATCTGATAGAAGGAGGGCTCAGCCTCCAGAAGAGTCAGTGGGAGCCCTGGGTTCTGCTGTCACTGCTGTTTTCCAGGGTCACTGCCTTCTGGTCAGGCCTGGCTGCACCTAGAGATGCCATGGCAGCCCAGCACCAGCCTGCTTCCCCTCAGTGCCAGGTTGTCATTGGACAGGACCATAGGGATGATGAAACACTACTACTTTCTTTCAATTCTGCCTTCGGTTCCTAGTGCAGAGCTCTGACTTTTCTTCCCATGTGCCTCTCTCCTGGGAAAGTATGAGGCTGTCAAGACCAGCACAATGATGGGTGTTCAGCCCTGCCTTTCCAGCTCCTTCCTGTTCCCCCTCCCTGGACCATGTATGATCTTTCTATAGATTTTCCTGTGTAAACCAGCCACTTAGGGTCCTATTAAGCTCTGAATTTTGCCTCTGTGAGCCTGGGTGACACTGCATTGGTAATCAGCCTCCAGGGGATTGTAGTTTGCTGAACCAGAGACCATACAGAGTTGCAAGGTTGGAAAAATAGTGGTTTTGGGGGTGTGGTCCCAGGACAGCCACCAGTCCATCACCCAGAAACTTGTTAGGAATATAGTCCCTGTCCAGACTCACTGAACCAAACCCTGGCTTGAGGCCACCAGTTGCTTTAATAATACTTCCAGGATATGCTGACACATTCTTACCTCCGAAGTTCCACCTCAATGGATCTCAGTGCTCCCTGCACAGCAGAATCCCTGGAGAGAGCTTCATCTGCCTGAGATTCTGAGTTAGTTGCTTTAAATGCATGCCAAACCCATCCTAAGATTTGTGGCTAAGTTGTTATCCTGAAGTAATTTTTGATTGCTGGCTGATTTGCAAATGTATTATACCCCTTTCCCCAAGGTCAGCACCTCACGAAACCAGGTTGCTTTGATTAATAAGATGGATGTTCACTTTAGTACAGTGTTAGTAACAAAAGGACAGATGCTGCTGATGTAGCCAGTCCCTCACCGACGTCCTCACTGTGTTGTAGATCTTGTCTAGACTTCATCATCCCAGCTCCTCAGACTCATTTGATCTGTAACAGCCCAGCTTCTCAAACCCTCCTGTGTTCTGAGACCTTGACTCTTGGGAAGAGTGCTGGTTACAGACTTGTAGAATGGCTCTGTCCAGTGTCTGTTTTCTCGTGACTAGACTTTGTTGAGGGGTTTTGATTAGGGGCTCACCCTCCTTCTCCCATCCTGCCTTAGGAATACAACCCTACTGTGATCTTGCTCTTTGAGGCTCCCCAGCTGGGGTTGGGACTCCTCCTGCTTTAGTCTCATATGCCTTCCAGATTCTTCTAGAGAAGGAAGACATAGCTTAGGAACTCCTCATCCCTGGGCACCAGGCAAAAGATCTTCCAAATCAAAAAGCTTTCAAGAAATAAAGCCCACAGATAACACAAGGAGATAAGCACAATGCAATTAAAATGGTGTTGTGGTTTTGATGTTTCCATTAGTTATAATTAACTCTTTAACCACCCCAATTATAATGAGCAGTGACTATAGTGCCATCAGAACCTTAACCATTAGTCCCCTTCCTCCCCAAGAGGCAGAGTCAGTGATGGAAGTTTTACTTTCTAGGTGTATTAGCAGTTTTAGAATGGGAATGACCTGTGAGCTTCATAGGGAGCTATCGGCCAGTCATGCAGGGTGGGTGTGACCTGGCAGCCCACCAGTGCCTGCAACTCTAAGCAGGGACAAAAGAGCCTTACCTGGGCTGTGGTGGCCAGGTGTATTGAGATCTGCTGGTCATGAACGATGGAGGCGACTGATGGGCCTGCCCCCAGCGTGATAATAGAGAGGGAGAGTCGGGGATGCTAGCAACACAGAGACTTTCTTCTCTTCAGCACAGACATTGGGTGGACATGAAGCCCTTTCAGACTCACCAAGCTAGGGAACAGAGAGAGGCAAAGCAAGGGAACTGGCTGTTTCTGCCCTCATGGAGCTTCTAGAAGGCACAGCTCAATTGCCAGGGCTATTTAGCTAGTTAGAGCTCCTTTCCAGTCCAAAGCAAGCATGTGCATACCAGATAAATATAAATATCCATTGACAGTGGTTGGGCCATCACCAAGTCAGTTTAGGGTAAAACTGGAGGGCAAGGGCAGGAGTTGGCCCAAGTTCTACTCTTCTTTCCATGTATTTACTCCATATTGCCAACTTACTTGGACAAGTAAGTTGGGCTATCTGGGCTACAATTTCTCAGTTAGAAAAGTGGAGATAGAGCTGGGCATAGGCATAGTGATGCATGCCTTTAATCCCAGCACTAGGGAGGCAGAAACAAGTGGATTGCTGAGTTTGAGGTCAGGCTGGTCTACAGAGTGAGTTCAAGAACAGCTATAACTACACAGAGAACCCCTGTCTGGAAAAGAAAAAAAAAAGGACAAAAATGGAGATAATACATAGCTGAAAGGATCAGGTTATATAAATAATAGAATGTCCTTGGAGAAGAAAGCCACCCAGTAAATGCCCAGTATTTATAATAAATAATAAGTATTTATTATTAACTCCTGTGGATTCACTTGTTCTTGAAGAGGACATGGGTTTGGTTCCCAGTACCCACAACTGTCAGTAGCTCCAGTCTGAGGGAATCCAATGCCCTCTTCTGACCTCTGTGAGCATCAGGCACACATATGGTACACATACATACATGCAGGCAAGACACACTCATAAAATAAATCTGAAAAAATTTAAATAAATAAAAGATTAAAAGCTGAGATCTCAATTTCCAACAGCTTCCCTTGCAGCTTGGTTCACTCATGACATGAATGGTGAAGGGGAATCTTAGGAGAGTGGGAAAATCTTTCTTTAGAAAATGTTAAAGGCGTATTTGTACGTATCGCCTCTTCCTTTCAGCAGGAGAGGCTGATGTGTGGTTTGGGATATCTGAACCTATAGTTGCTATTTTATGACCTTAAGACAATTGAGAACCATGTATTTTATTGGTATATTGCGATGGACTGCATTATGTCCTTCCTTAAGGGAGTAGTATTTCAATATAAAGTCTTAAAGATGAGGTTCTGATCCTAGTGGGGTGGTCTCCTCACAAGATAGGGAGACACCAGAGCTCCCTCTCTACCTCTCCAGAGGGGGGGATGTGAGACTGTGAGATGGTAGATGTTCACAGGAAGATAGATAGAGGTCG